GAGGTAGGAGCCTAAAGGTAGGGAGACTGACTTCATTTAGCAGCGGGAACCAGTGAGAACCAGCTGTTGCAGCCCTGGGTTTTCTTTTTCTTTTGTGTTTGTAAGGTCAGATAAAGGGCCACCAGAAGAAATGCACAGTTTTTTTTACTGATGTAGCTTGACCCCAAGGTTATGTGTATTTTAACATATTTCTGTTACTTTTAGTAGTACAACAGTTTACCAGATCTGCAGCTTGCTCTCAAACTGGTTTTTGTTTGCAGATGATTGAAAGCACTGCAGGGGCTTGAGCATTGATAATACAGAGTCAGAAGGAAACTGAATCGCAGGGTATGTGGTCTGCTGAGCAGGAGGAAAAACAAAACAACATTGCTTCCATCTCTCGTGGCTCAGGGATAATTGAAAATAAATAACACTGTGTCGCAGTGCTGCTGCAGGCTAAATTCTGTACTAATTTGTGCTGCAGTCAGAGGATGCTAACAGTTTTTCAGATTCTCCTTTTATACAACTCCCATCTGATCAAAACTGTCCAATATTTTGTTACTTTGCACTGAGACATCTCCAAAGGATTAAAGCCAGCCACGTAGAGATCATGAAGATTTTACAATGAGGCCTTTTTAAATGTTGTTGGATGCAAGAACCATCTGGGAACTCTACATTATGAGCTCATCTACATGTTAGTATTATCTGTTGCTGTGAATGTTTGGTCCTAAAGGGTCTATGTTGAGCTGATTTTGTTCAACACTTTCACTTATAGTGTTGCTCTGACACTAGGAACAAAAACAGCAGGAGTCAAGTTGAGTAGGGCTGCAATAACCAATTATTTCATTATTGATTAATCTGTCATTTATTTTCTAGATTCACTGTAATCTATATATTCATAGGTTAATACACTGAGTGCCTTTTTATTTGTAGGAACATAGCTTTGTTTATCATGTACAAACAATCTGAGGGTGCCAATTAAAATAGCTGAGGTGGGGTTTTCACCCAGAATCTCAATGCTTGTAGACGGCATGTTTTCAATATATATCAGAATTAAATGTGCAAACAGTGACGGAGCCTAAATAGTTTCCTAAGACACTGTACAGTATAGTATATACTCCATGGCCCAATCCCAGTGTCCTCCCTATGGTGTGAAGCCCTAAAAGACTTTAGTGACGTCACCTCTAAGTGATTGAGTGCAAGAGTCTGCAGCACTTTGTGACTTAGGCTATCACATCACCATGACAAAGCCAAAACAGCACCATGGCTCTAACTATTGTGGATTTAGAGCTTTTTATTTTACATTTTTCATTCACCTTGCGACAAAGACACTTCGGGGAACGATTGGCTGATTTGAACTCGATCCGGGCTCTTGCATTAAAGAGTGGACGAGGGGCGATTGTCAATTACCTAATCAATTTAATATACGTTTTTGTCAAAATGGAATCATTAAGCAAAAACAAAATAAGCAGCTGATGAGTGAAATAGGTGCATAATATGGGAGGTTTATGTTTAAGTTGCAGTGTTTAGCAGATGCTTTTGTCCAAAGCAACATACAGAAACATTAGAATGACATCAGTTAACGTGAGAATGGTTGTTTACTCTTCATCTTCTTTATTTTTGTTATTTCTGTTTTATTAGCATTTGTATTCTTGTTTTTATATTTCCATCCCTCCCTGGATACGCTAATCCCGTGTTCCACGTCACAAGTCTATAAACTGTGAATTCACTACTTAAAATACTGATTAAATTCTGTTGATATAACAACAAATTTTCTATTAAATATTTTTATATTCCTTATTAGGTGGCTTCGACTGAAACAGTGAAAGGTCTGTTGGCGTTTGCTGCTGCAGCAGTACAGTTTCCCACAGAGATGTTCTGTCCTATCTTATTTTTTACTTGTGTGTGTGTGTTGAGTTTGTTGGTGGTGGTGGCACTACAGCCAGATAGGGAGCTTTAGAACAGAAAGATGAGATGTGTTTGAATTACAGGCCTGCAAGCATCTATTTTTGCCTTGGACCTGTTAATGTCTGTGTTTAGACAGTTGAAGGCAAACAGTTTGAGTCCATTGAAAAGTTTTGAACATTTCTGGCAGCCAGATACTGCTGTTGTGTTCATTAAAAATAAAGTTACAGCACATACCCAATTATCATTTCTTTAATCTGTACAAAAACCGAAATGTAAAAACGTCCATTCACCTACTGACTGTAGCCTAATATTTAATAGATAACGTCACCTTTGTCATCTCACTCTCCACCAGAGAGTCAATAAGCATAAAGTCAAACCTTTACTTTAAAGACGTCCTGTGGAGCTTTTTTTTTTTTTTTTTTTTGGTTAAGTGACTCATTGAGATATTTAACAAATATCGAATGTAAGTCTTTCCTAACAAAATGCTGTGTAAAACCACTGGCCACCTGTGTGTTTGTGTGCATGCATGAGAACAGACAAAACAGGGACCTACTAATAAAAATATTGGCCCATAGCTCAAGTAGTGGTCAAAAACTGCCCAGGGTATATTTGAGATTATAACCCTGCACCTCCTCTCCAGTGCACACAAGAACAAAACTCACCAGTCTAACTTTTTTTAACCGCATATGGTCCATCATCCTAAACACTGCCTCTTTTCTCTGTAGTTGGAAGAACTACTGTAGCTGGAGGAAGAACAGGAAGAGGCAAAGCTAAAGTGAAATTATTTTTATGCCAGTTGGAGTTATGAAGAATTATACTGACACACCTGAACCCTGGGTCTCATATTGTAATCTGAACGGAGATGAATGGTGATTGTATTGTGGTGTATTGTCCTCCACAGTGAGTGCTAAACAATGTGATGATGACATCCAGCGTAAATCTGCCGCAGCTGCTACAATAACCTGGGCGGCGTGTGTGTGGCCTTTTGTGTGTGTTTGCCTTTTTGGCATGCAGAGGGCAGCGCAGCAGTAATTAATGACTAGCTGCTAAATAGTGATCCTAGATGATAATGAGAAGGCATTGGTGTGGGCCCGGGCGTGACAATCCACTCAGCAGAGAGAAAGCATGGTGCACAGGTGACACTCAGGTCACACAGGCCTGGAGGGGACAAATCAAAAGGATTTATTAGTGTGGAACTTCTTCGCCATTGTTGTATGAAAACATTATTTGGACAATGTGATTCCAAGCCAATATGGCAGCGCCTTTGTTGTTACACAGTTGTAGGCTTTTTATTGTAGCTGTAAATGACAAAAGAGATAATTGTAAGATCTCATACTAGTTGGAAAAAGTAGTTATCCAAATGCACACAACCAAAAATAAAATATCTTTTAAAAGTGGTATGATATTACGGCAGCAACAGTCAATGGAGAAATGTTTTCTCCTCAGCTGGAATTGCAGCAGGTTATTATTTGAGACACAGATGTGTCTTTGACTGGCAACAAGCCCAACCCAGAGACATTTCATTAAAATACAACTTAAGACCTATGTGTCGCTGGTTTGTGCATCATTCTCGTGATAGTTACCATTTTGTATATTTTGGTTTACAGTACGTTTAGTATTCCTCAGGCTGAGCAGGTCAAATCCACAGAAATACTGATGGCACAAAATGAATATATTCAATGAGAGTAAATGCTCTTGTTTTATGGATATGTGTTTATTTATTTTAAAATGTTGTGTAGGACAAAACGTTTGTCAGGGCCAAACTGTGTCACGTGAGCTGCAGTTTTGGCTGTATGTGATCATTGCAGAGCTCCGGGCTGTTCCTGAGAAATACATTTTATTCTAATGCAGATGAACACGCAGAGAACCACACAGCTGATAGCAAATTCAAATGAAATGCTAATTAATCAGATCTGATCACCATCACCACTAATGCACCATGGGACAGACTTGTTCTATGTGTCTCTACTTCTCCAGATCTCTGTCTTTTTGTGTTCCCATTTCTTTCTTTTTATTTTGTGTGTGTGTGTGTGTTTCATTTGCTTTCATTTACTTTGCTGTTGCATTTTCTTTGTTATTTTTTGCTTGTCTGATCTTCCTCTTTGCCACCCAAAGTGCTGCTCAGACTTGTCCATCAGTCTTTCAATCTTTCAATTTTCTGCCATGGTGAAAAGCACTTAAACTTATCGTTCCATCTGTTTATTACATGCCACGTCCAGTTCCTTCCCTATACTCCACCCCCTTGCCCTGCTCTCCTCTCCATCTGTGTATCTTCTCAACAACCTTTATATCTGTCAAACTCCTTCTGCTAGTGCCCTTTGTCCTTCATCAACATTATTTCATTATTTTCTAACATTCTGTAAAAGCAAACTTTGAGAATAGGCGTGTAATGTTTTTTTAATTATATTGTCCAGTTAGGAGCGCTGCTGCAGTTGCAATGCTTCCATAAAACCAAGAGTTATGGAGCTCATTCATGAAACTCTGGTGCCTCATTTGTAGTTTCCCAAACTGAGAGGGCTGGTTGTATGTTGTCCATCCTGACCTGTAATTAAAAGTACCAGAAATGGTAGCCATATTTCTGCTAACAGGATTGCTATCCCTGAAGCTGTCAGCTAGGAAGTAAAAAGAAGCCTACACACTGAGGAAAAGGGGCCCCAGGGGACACTTGGTGAGAAAGTACATTAGACCTATCAGCTTGGAGATTTGAGAAAAAATAGCTCCACTGAGAAGGGTGTATATAAGTTTATCCTGACTGGAAGACACTGGCTGCTGCACAACTTTTCACAAGTAAAGCAAGTTAAGGAGTTCACTGTGGATTGAGAATTTCCATCCATTAATAACTTGTTATGTCTGTCACTGAGGAAAAAGCTTTTCTCTAACGACGCTTTCTCACCTTCAGACTCCAGAGGTCTGAGGAGAAACAGGTTATTGATTTTGCGTGACATCAGTGCTTATCTCCTTTTTTGGGGATCTGTTGAAATCCCTGTGAATGACAATTGATTAGCAAAAAGTATTTGTGGCTCTGGTGTTACAGCTGAGAAAGATGTAAGTACTGCTAGTAGGCAGCAGCATTTGATGTTGTCTTTCTCTTTGTCTTCCCTTCTCTCTCACAGATCACATTCTTCATGCTACTGTCAGCCGTGTGTGTGATGCTCAACCTGGCGGGCTCCATCCTCTCCTGCCAGAATGCTCAGCTGGTCAACTCTCTGGAAGACTGTCAGCTGGTGAGACCAGGGGTGGAGTGGGAATAAAAATCAGCCTGGGACTGGCCCACCAAAACCCATCTGGAGACACACCATCAAACACACACAACAAAACAATAAAGTAGCTGCAGTCTCAGAAATGACCATAAAACTGGTCATAAAACACATCAGAACCTGAAAGATGCCACTTGGAAGTGCAAGACGTGTTGAATTTTGTTGTTGTAGTCAGCAGTGAGTGATAGGCATGAGTCTACATTTACATGATTGTTAGGCTGAGAAGCAGTACTCCTGTTCTGAAAAGGCTGCAGAAGTGAGTCACATTCACCAAAGTGAATGTAGCGCTTTGTCTGCTCGTGACTAATGGCTCGTGATGATCACGCCCATCTTTGCCAGAGATGGCTTAAAATACAGATAAACAGCTTTGAAAGAGTACTCTGGTAATTTGTTATTACACTCCCACAAAATTGGAAGACTCAAAAAAGACAATTTAGAATTGTACACAAAAAACAAAGCAACCAAGATATTGTGACAATACACATAGATTTACACATACATTAAAGGTGCCATATTACACTCAGAAGTGTTTGTTTGACAACAACAGCTTGACAAACAGCTTCAGAAACTGCCTTAATCCAAATATTTCCAGTGCCATTAGAATTGTTTGAGATTTGCTTCATAATGAATGGCATCCTTTCACGTCACCAGTTTGAATTTGTATGTGTAAACATGGCATTAGTTCCACCTGTGAGATGGCTTGACAAACAGCTTCAGAAACTGCCTCAATCCAAATATTTCCAGTGTCATAATTGGGATTGCCGGCCGGGATTGGCTCCAACCGCCCTTGTAAATACTGCTGCAACATAGTGCAGCAGGTTAATATTCTTGTCATAGAACTTCTATCATGAATGTTCTAAGCACAAAAGTTCACGCACTTGCATCAGAGCTTTTGACCAAATCTCAGAGGTTTTCACTTGGTGAATTTATCTTTTACAGAATTGAAATGTTTTCCAACCAGATGCTCTATGCCCTGATGTTTTAAACATCACTGATAACACTGTAGAAAGCAGCAGGATTTTTCTGATTGCAGTTGGAGATGTACACAAAACACCCCAGTCTTCACATTATTTAAGCTGAATTTATAGTAGCAGGGGTTCCTGACATTAAGAAGTATGAAGAAGCTCTTCGTGATTCATCCAGCATCCAACTTACTAACCCCATCACTTCCACATTAGAAGCACCTTTTCTCCCTATGCAAGTGAGACCAATTGAGTAGACCGACTTCATTGCTTTATGTGGTTCCCCAGAGACCCTCCCCAAGTCGTGACTGAAATATGAACATTCCTAATCTCCTTTCCCCAGTGTAATTAACCCATTCTTGTTGGGTTCATGTCCTGCTTTATTTCAATCTGGGACACAGAGCAGAGGTATGCTTTACCTCGATCCTTCTCTTGGGTAGCTCCTCATATTTCACTGTCTTTGTCTTGTTGTACACATTTGATGTGTAGCTGCAACCCAATCACAATGTTCTGTTGCTTATATAGATTATGTTGCATTTTTTGACTATATACCTTAATTAAAATTATATAGTTGGGAGTAACTATCCTGCACAAACTTATATTTCAGGACAAAGTGAACACCAAGCCCAGGTCTGATTTGTGTGTGTGTCTGTGTGTGTTTGTTTGTGTGTGTGGGTGTGTCTGCATGTGTCTTCGTGTATGTGGCGTGCATGCATGAGTGTGGATGTATGTTCCCCCCATCTCCCCCCCAGCTTAAGTTTGACAGCGATGGAGTGTGTGTATGCTGTGGGCTACAGCAGCAGAGTTCAAGCTGCAACAACCTGGGAGAGACACTGAAACTGAATCCACTGAGGGACTGCAACACCATACGCCTACGCCTCAAGGTGAGCGGGAGCCAGCATGTGTTTGTACTGTATAGTGCTTTCAGTCAGTCCACTCACCTCATTGGTCCAGACTGAACTGTCACAGCAAAGTAGACAAATTAAATGGCTTGCCATGAAATTTCATCTATAATCCTTAGAAGAAGGATTCTACTGACTTGAGTGAACCTTGACTTTCCACTAGTACCACGCTCAAGTTGACTTGTGTTTCTAGTGAAGTACCTCAGTAAGTGTTGGGTAGATTGAGATGAGAATAGCCAAATGACATAAGATACAAAATAATACAAGTGATACATTTCAGATGAATTGGGCAAGAAGTAGAGAATGGCAACTGCATTTGTCTTACTCCAAGAGGTAGACCTCTTAGTATGCAGAGTGCATCCAGCCTGGGCTGGCTGTAGTTTGCAAGTGCATGATCTCTGTAGATTATCTTGACTCAAAGTGTCCTCAGGAATGATATGCAGAATGTGCTACTGGGACTTTATTGGATAATGACAATCATGTCCATTCAATTTATGTCCTTGATTGATAATAAAACATTGATAACCAAATAAAAGCCTTACTAGTATGAAGCATGCTTAAGGAAATGGGAAAGATCAAGCATGTTTGTCATTGTGACCGTAGCTCATTAAAAGAGATATTACAATTGGTGCTATAAACCTTTATTAAGTGTATGTAGTCAAATGTGTTGACTTATGTCTAAGAGGAGCTGTCATGCTCGACTCCCAGAGTTTGCGACCATGATGATCCTAATGAATCAATGAATAGAAAAGAAGTACAGTACTAAAGTATCACAGCAGGTAAACAATGGGACCACAGTTGTTTGCTTATTCACAGCTCTTCTACATCTAAAGGTTTTGTTCATCAACAGTGATCATTTCTAGCCATGCTTCTGCAGAATTGTTGCATTCACCCTTTACCTACTAAATTTCCCTATCTTACACTGCCTGAGGCTGTAGATCATCAGTGGGAGGGAGTCTTTAGATAATTTGTGATTTCCTGTAAGAGGATACATGTGTAACCTCGCTGTGTAACTCACCAAACTGATTGGCTTTGGGCAAGGTATCTTCTAAAGGTTAAATATTTGGTAGGCCAAGCGTGTTAAGCAGTTTCTGTAGAGGTGTTATTACCTTTCTTTGCCTTGTAGGGTTTATTTGTCATTCTGTGCATTATGGTCACAAGGGAAATCAAAGAAATGTACTGTCTCACATCTGTATAGCAGATGCATTGCCATAACAAAAATGAAGCTCAGATGAAGCCATCAATTTTTTTTTGTTTTGTTTACTAGATGCTTGCAGTTAATTTTGTGGTCTCCAACTATGCTGTAAGACAGTTGTTTGGGAAAATACATTTACTGTAAAAAAAATCCACCAGATTTTGTCTGCCTTGCTATTTGTTGACTTTTTTGTTAAATGTAGTTTTTGTGAAGTGTTTGACCACATTTGCCCCAAATCAGCTGTTTTGCTGAATTGATGAGAAAAAAAAAAAGAAACTCTTACTGTCATCATCTTACACAAGTAAGACCACATACTGAGAGCGTTTACCTACAGCAAATCAGTTTACCTGCTTTGAATGTAATCATGCCATTCAATGGCCATTATCAGTTGTTATCCAGAGCACAGGCATGGGTTACTAGGGCCACTGTCTCAGTATGGATCCTGACCAAATAATAAAACTTTAGTCAGAGTCACAGTGAAAGACATGAAAATGTCCAGCTGGTGTCTTTCGTTAATGTCTGTGCAAGATTCTTTTGAGTGAAAAAACAGACTGCTGACTTGTTTTTGTTTGTTTGTTGAAAATATTATATTTGTAAAATGGAACCAGTTCCATTTTTTCAGGATTAAAATCCTAGATTTATGTCCATCTCCATCTTTGTCCCTTGTGTTTAGCATTAGGAATCGATGGTATATTTCCTCTCATGCAGCTCGGGATCAGTTTTTAACATAAGACATGAGGTGACATGAGGTTCAACAATCTGCCTTTGTCAGCACTATTAGTAGTCAATGTCGAGGGGTGTGCCAAAGGACAGTTAGACAGATTAAGCTGTACTTGAGTTGAAGGTCATTAATAGCCTTCTGTAATAGCTTTTAGGCTAAAATCCAGAAGAAAAAAAATCTGTATTTCTTTTGATTAGGACATTTCCACATAAGCTGTTATCCTCTACAGTATCTGCCTGTGTAGGAGGTCAATCAGGTTCACGTGCACTCCAGAGCAAAAGCTTTCTACTTCCTGTACTACCACAGGAATATGCCCCTATATCTGAAATGATTTTGTGTAGAGTCAAGACTCTATAGTCATGAGAAAAGCTTGTCCTTTACTTCGTAGTCCATGCATTTAGAATTGTATCAGGAAGTGGAATCACAGTGCTACAACAAAGGCTGCTTCCCATCATTGGTGGTGAGAATGGTATTGCCAACAGCCTGGACTGATCTCCTGAAACTGCTGAAGGGATTCTTGAGGGACGTTCTGGATTTTCTGTTTGATGCTATAATGAGCAGCTTGGCTATGCCAAAGAACACTGAGATCAGTACTGACCTGCACTAAGACTATCAAACCAGGGTGCTGCCCTTTCTTCACCAGCTGCACTTTGAGGTGGTAGCAGAGATATGTGTGTACTTTGTCTCTGGTCAAGAACTTTACACTTTAAGAAACAACAAACAACAGTATCAATGATGTGAAAAGCCAGATGGGGCCCAGAGTCTGCCGTTATGATGATGTGGTCAGACAGAGCCGCAGATGCTACTCTTGCATGGAGTTAGAAATTGTATAATAACAAGGTTAAAGGTCATGATAAATGTGTCATTTGGAGTAAATAGAGTAAAACAGTGATATGAACCTTTATTGCCACTTGGAAGTCCTACATCACTTAGCTCTGTTCCACATAGAACTTGAGAAGTTATTTACTTCCCTTACTCTGCCAACATAAAAACATTTAAACCATGTGAACTACTGTAATTCTTACAACACTAAAAGCAGTTGCCATCTCCTTTCATCAGTTCTGTTTAATGACTAGTTGTGAATATTCTATGTTTGAAATGTTAGACAGACTTTTACTTCATCCACAAGTCCTCCAGACTTTGCTCTACGTAAAACATGTTCCAATAAAAAAAAACTGCTGCTTCCAACTGGCATTGTCTCCGTGTTAACTTCCAGCTCACACAAACTCGATCTTTGGCAACTGGATGCTGGATATCAAACATGTTTGAAAAGCAGTTGCAGGGTTGCCAAATCTGAACACTTTGTCTGCCAACTTGATCCATTTAACATCAAATACTTTAAAGGGAAGGGAAGTGAGTCATGGGAAATTATTAAAACCTCTATTAAAAAAGTTAATGTACCTGTGCTCAGAAAACAAAATACTACCTCGCAGATCTCAGCAGGGGAGGCAGCTGTTCTCTTTGCAAATCATCAGAAGTCTAATACAAGTGGATAATTATGTACCGCCTGAGTCTGGTGAATAGCCTGTGCAACAGGCTGGAAATCATTTTGTCTGGTAACTGGGCAGCTTCATTCATGAGGCTGTGCCTTCAAAAAAAATGTATTGAGATTTTAATGCTATTAATAATGGCAATGACAGCCTTTATTTATCATGCTGAATGTACCTATTAGGTGTAGGATTGGATGTTGGCAATGATCTCCCAATTTGATTTTCATTCACAAAGTCTAGAGCCAACTCATTTTGATTTGATGCATTTGATTTGATCCTTCTACATTCAACAAATGAACAACAGTGTTATCTCCCTTTTGAGCATTTTAACATGGAAGTCTATGGGGATTGATTTCCTTTTGGAGCCAGCCTCAAGTAGCCATTCGAGGAACTTCAGATTTTGGCACCTACGCATTTTACTTCATTTCTTAACCTCAAAGGTTGCTGCTTGGTTTGCACAGACTGTAAACGTGACTTCCATGGCTTCATATCATGTAGTCAGAGATATATCTACAGCAAAAACAAAGACAATAGATTAGTATGCAGGGTCTTTTTTTAGTCTGTCTACTATAGATGCGATTGGCTATGAGATGGCCACATCTGTCCACCCTGAGTCATGACATTTTATCATTTTACACATCATGCAGCCCTAAATAAATGACTTACAAGAAGTAACCATTTCACATAATATTTAGGACAGATGTACCTGCTTCCTTAAAAAAAACCCAAACGCAGAGATTGATCTCTGTGATTTAAGAGTCAAATACTGGATCATTCAAATAAAAAGTGTGATTCAGTGGAATTGTGATTGTCTTATCCAGCCTGTGTTAGTGAACAGTAAGTCTGTGGTCGTAAATGTAACAGCTGAAGGATTTCTGGTGATTTCATTCACTTCCTCTCACTTTTCTGAGATACTTAAAGGCAAAGTCAAAGTTTCTGTCACACATGCACTCTTATTTCTAGCTTCTTTCTATTCCCCTCCCCTCTCATCTTTTACAGTCTTACAGCATTTGATAACAAAAGTCCTGATAATGGTGATAGTGAAGTGAATGTATTGTTTCAAATGAACTGTGTGAAGTTTATAAAAAGGAAGAAGAGTGTGACTTTGGTGATGGTGTTGAAACATCTTAGAGAACTGCAGAATACAGACCTAATTAAGTGAGATTTAGTTAGCAGCTAACTGCAAACTGAACCGTCCTTTCTCCTCTCATTCTGTGTGCCAGATCGCGGCTATTTCCAGAGTCAATTTCCAGCCAGGTGGTATTACTGTTCCTGTACTCTTCTTTGGCAAATTAATTCACATAGTACAATTATTATAGGTGCCATTTGTTAACTAGATATGGTCTAAACATGGAGCCACTTAAAGATAAGTATTTTGTACCTTTTTGATGATTTGCACAAACAGCAATATAATAGCGCAGTCATAAGTCTTTGCTCTGATTCTAAGTGCTAGGCTAGTATTTCACCAGCATGCACATTTATTTTTGCTGACAGATTCAGTACTCATTTGTCTCCTTGCTGTTCACTGCATTGCCAGTGTTAAT